ATAATAAATTCTATTAAATTTGACATTCATAATAGAGATTATTTTTGTTGTTATTGTTTGTATTCCATATCAAAACACCATCTATATTGTTACTGCTTTAAAATCGAAGGAAGTCTTATGGTTATTGTTACCGTCAAATGTAAATGGATGTCTTTTTTTTTGTGTACATCTTTTGTTGTCTGGTATGATGGTAATAAGGAAAACCACTTTTATTAATTTCATTATTTTTAATGTTATTATTTTTATTATTGTTGGTGAGGCTTGAACGATAATATTAATTTTTTAATCATAAATTATATGTTTTCGTAGTAGTAAGACCGTAAATTATTTTAAACAAAAAGTTTTTTGTATTATGCCAGTCTTGTAGTAAATAAGCGATATGTTTAAATTAGTCAAAATATTTTCATTTTTACTGTTTAAAGCTAAAATAAAATAAAAAGCCAAAAATTTGATCAATACTTTTTCTTTGCATATTCAGTGAAAGTTTTATAAATTTGTCGGTCTTATAAAGAATTACGTATAATTTAAAAAGCTATTAAAATGTTTATTGCACTCTAATAAAAATAATTGTGTCGCTTCACTAGTATAGCCCATATAAACATTTATCAGTAGAAAAATTAATCGACAAATTATCTTTAAAACTATATTTTTGTAAAGTTAAACTAACAAATAATCATAATTATACCCTACACCTCCATAGTGGGTGCGTTTGAGCTGATGTTTGTTACGCTTTCAAATATTAGTCATACACCCACCTTCGGCTTTTAATCACTTTCGATTAAGACATGTCTGTCTGTCTGTCTGTCTGTCTTTCTGTCTGTCTGTCTGTCTGTCTGTCTGTATGTCTGAAACTTCTTCAAATTACGACATGTACATGTATGGCTTTATCAGCTCAGAAAATGATTCTTAATATATATACTTTAAGGTGGGTATAGTCCCAATGTATGTTAAAAATAATACCCACTCCACTAAATGTGGACGTGTCGGGAAACTGCTGAAGTAATTCCATTTGGAAACTTTTACTCAATAAACGTAAGAATGTATTTAATAAGGATACAGGAAGCAAAACAAAACATTACTAAGGAAATTGTTTGTAAAATGAAAATACAATAACGATTGCAATGAAAAGAATAAATTTAATTTAAGAGTAAATTATTTCCTTGTGAATGGTGTTCTTTATGGATATAAAAATAAAATTTGATATAAATTATATAATACAGCATTCATATGTACCCAGCAAAAACTGGGTAATGGCTTTCAGTTGTAATTACTTACCTATCAATATACTTTTCAATGACTACTACATATCGTTTGGATGACATAGAAGTAGTCTGATAATGTCTTCCTAATAATGTGTTATATAACTAATTTATAATTCATTAGTAATCTTGCTAGTAAAGATATAGAAGCTGTATGCGTTTTTTACAGTGACTACTTTTTCTTATTACTTGTAATCGTTTGTGGTAAGTACTTGCCTCCAATGACATCACCATGTTAAAATAATGACTTAAAATGCTATTATGTAAGTGAATTTTAGCATTTAAATCCCTTACATGGTAATGAATGTTTTTACTGGGTACATATATTCCAATCAGAATGTCAAATAGTGACTCCGCCCATATGATCTGGCTGAATTTAAGTAAGGAACCTATTTATATCCTATACCAATAAACTGCGTTATGCTGATGTTTGTAACATTCAAAAATATTGATCCTATACCCACCAATCGTCTACCAATCACTTTCTGATTCGATTTAGCTATGTCCGTCCGTGTGTCCATGTAAACCTTTTGCGCACTCTAAAGGTCGCAATTTTCAAGATAATTTGATGAAATTTGGCACATATTTAGGCCCAAGGACGAAGTCTATTAAAAATGATTAAAATCTGTGCATCATTTCGTATAGCCCCCATACAACCGTACAACCCGATTAGGGCTTTTGAGTTCATAAATATGTTAAATGTTCTTGTATCACTCCAAAAATCGGCAAACCTTAGTTTTATATAAGTCTTAAAGATACTGCTGATTTTCGTAATAATCGGACCTCATTTGACCCCATCCCCCATACAAAGTCCCCTTAATAAAATGACTTGATGGTCTATATTCACTTATAAACACTAATATCACTATGATATTCTGTATAAATAACTTTAATGTAAACGTAAATCCTTTTACCAAAATTTATAAGTATAGAAGCATATTAACCTCCTACCGCCGTATAACAACTCTTTTAGAAAATCACTTTTTAGTCAACTAATTGTTAAAATATTTCTGAATTAAGGTGAAAATGAAATGAATGACTGGTGTAGGGTATCATATGGTCGGCCTTGCACGGCTATAAATTCTTACTTGTTTTTCTATATATTTAGTTTTTTCCTAAAAAGTTATATTTAAGTCTGAAATATGAACAAATAACCAGACATAAACAAAATACTTTTTCACCTTTTTTACCATAATTCTTAACCTAAAAAATATTCAAATACTTAATTTAAGAAAAAATAAATTAAATAAAGTTAAAGAATTTCTAAATTATAATAAAATCTCAAATTCAAATTTTTACCTTTAATATCTATAACCATGACACCACAGATGAAAAAGGATTTTCAAGTTTGTATGCAGTATTTGAGCATATACACACGACTATAATTGAATAGTCTCCCGCTAAGTATTAAATAAATATTTTTCTTTGTAAATTGGATACAGGTTTACCAATGGCAACAAAAAAAAAGGGGTACAAAATACATACATACACATTAATCCATTCATTTTAGATACAAACAGCCAACCACCCAACCATCCGAAATAACGCTTTATAAAGTGGAATAAATTAAAGCATTAAAACACGTGACATAAATGTTGTGTTCCCAGGGGAGACCAAAAATGAAAATCACCCCCCAAATTGGCAAAAATAAAGCAAAGGAACATGAACAAGTTACTATTTTGAAAAAAAAGCAATGAATTTTATTCAAATTATAAAAACTCATAATTGTAACCTTGATTGTAATCGTTAAGAAAAATACAAACGAATAAGTCGTAAAAAATTTCCATGTGAATTAAGCCAATCAACATATATTTGATTTATATGATTAAGAAAAATCTAAAAAAATTGAGAATTTAATAGTAAGACATCAGGGAGAATATCGTAATCAAACACCACGTTAGTGTTTGTAACGCACAATAATATTGGTCCGTCCGTCCGTCCGTCTGTTTGCCTGTCTGTCAGTCCACGTACACCTTGTAATCAAACTAAAGGTCCCAATTTTGAAGATAATTCAATAAAATTTGGTACAAATTGTTCCATTATTTCACCCAGCCTCTATACAACTTCTCATAACTGGTGTAGAGTATTAAATGGTCGGCCACGCCCGACTATAATTTCTTACTTGATTTGGAACAACCATTTAAAATGCTAGATTTATTTACAAAAAATCGATTCTGCCCCACTGTGTATGAAGAAGAAAATACACACACATTCTTCGATACTGGTTATTTAATTTTCCCCTTTGAGGTTTTATTGATTTTCATACAAAATTGTTGATTAATTAGAAACAAGTTATTAAAAGGGAAAGACAAAGTTTTAGAATTACCTACACATGTTAAGATTTATGTATGTTGTCTTAATATGGGATAGTTTTTACATTGGCATATTAATCACCTTTATTACATACTAGCTATACCCAGTCTACTTTGCTAACCTAAAAACATAATAAATAAAAATCCAATTTACGATTTTTGAAGATTCTAGGTCTAATAGTTTTCCAGATATGTGTTTTTTTTTCGTATTTGCCTGAAATGGGAGATGCTATGCCAAGCATTTCAAGCTCCCTAATAAAAGTCTGTCCATTTTTTCCCCAAAATGTTCACATGAATGTTAAAGTTCTTCTTGTAAAATTTGAATATTCTAGCTTTAATAGTTTCGCAGATAAACGAATTTTAGCATTTAATCCATATGGGAGGTTCCAAGCCGTCTATTGCTTTTTCGCCCATTTTTTGTCCTAAATATTCATGTTGATATTAAAGTGACTGCAAAGAAATTTGAGAAGACTATGTTGTCAACGTTTTTCATACAAAATTTGAGGACTATAGCTGTTCCATTTACTACGATATACGACTTTTAATATTTATCTTGTGTGTGGGCGTGGTTTCTCGCCCACTTGAAATTTTGAAGTGAAAGGTAGCCTAACAGTACCTTCTACACATACAAAAAGACAATCTGAAAATTTAGCAGACTATAAACCCCAAACAAACTAACAAACATTATTTTTTATATATAGATTACAAACCATTATCAAGGTATTTAAAAGAATGTAATCATTATTAGGAAAATAAGTCATAAATACCTTTAAAGGATACACAGCAATTACAAGAACTTAAGTTAAAAAACCTAAATAAAATGAAATAATTCATTGACATTATGAACACACTCCCCCTTAATAATGAAATCAACCCAGAAAAAAAAACAATTGATTAAAGAAAATCTTTAAATTGGCAAAAGTGTATTTAGTGTCACCACAACTGTGACCGCAAGACGACCAAACTACCAACAATACAAACAATTTCCCATCGACGATGTGGTACAATACCACAATTAATCTGCCTGTCAACCGGGCAAAACATATTACTATTACAGTAATGAATAAAGTTGTATGTTACAGATACCTGTAGAATAAATAAAACTATAGAAAATTAATTCGTAGTAAGTGTATTAAGTTACTCAGTTACTGTTCCGTACAAAAACAGTGGAAACTCTAAATATAAACTCCAGACGGAGAGGTAAAATTGGGGGTTATAAATTCTTGCAAATCTTTTCTGATTTCATACAATATAGAAATTCTTTAATTATTGTGTTAATTTTAAGCTGAGGTTTTACTGTATGCCATTTGTTACGATTCATCAAGCAGAAAATTTATTGTTTGCAATTTTATGAAATTTTTTTCAATAAATTATTTTTATTTTTTGATTTGAGGTAAGATTTTAATTTATTATTTCTTTTTATTTACAGGATGGAAAGATTCTATTTTATCTTTACCAAAAAAATGGCTTTCCACTGCAGAATCGGTAGACGAATTTGGATTTCCTGACGTAAGTATATAAATTAAAATAAATAGCTCCTTTTTTTCGAAACTCGTTGACCTTTTAACAGGCGAAAGGACAGACAGACGGACGAAAATGACTAAATCGTCCTAGAAAACATTCTAAGGAGCCACATTTTCTATGAGTTACAAACGGACTAGCAAAATCAATATACCCTCCTTTATTGTGACGATGATTTTAAAAAAACTACAGTTCAGATTAATGATTCAGAACTACAGTTATAAAACTTGAAATAATCCAAATTATAACCTCGAAAGTAAACTCTCAATAGAAATACCTTTTGAAGAAAATTCATTATTATAATCACATACTTAGAAGTTCTACAGAAAAATGTTTAATTGTAAAACAAACTTTTAGCATCCCGAACCAGAACTACCAACAATAAGCAAACAGAAAAAGAGAATATAAATAAACAGTAGTTGTTTACAAAGAACAAACTTTAATACTGTTTGTTATAATTTGTAATGCAAATAATGTTAAATGCACATGCATACATACTACTTATACACATACACATACATACTTACTTTATATTCCTTTCCTTGAATGACATCTCCCCCTCACAAGTTATTTTTAATGTTGTGTTTTAACTTCTGTCTATCTGTCTGTCTTCACTTTCAAGGAAATCATTAAGTTATAAATACAGAACTGTTGTATTGTGGATGCCACAGTTTCCGGTACACATGTACACATTAAATACATACAATAACATTTTCATTGTTGACATTCTGTTTTTTGTCTTTATCTTTTGTATTATTTTTCGTCTGCTAATATATACGTAAGTTGTTGTGTGTATGACACTCCAGTAATTCTGATTACTGTAGATCTAATATTTAACTTTTATTTGTCAAAATGTCCTTCCGATTGGCATTCAAAATCAAATAAAACAAGTAAGAAAGTATAGTCGGGCGTGGCCGACCATATGACACCCTACACCAGTTATGAATATTAAATGTAATTTATTTTTCATAATAAAGCATTTATCTTGAATATCACCTTGATTCCGATTTATTTAAGCAATTTATTGACGAAAACTCGGGGATAGGAGCAAATGTGGACCGATCCCGATAAAATGGACCAGGTAGATTTGTATTTATATAATATTTGTCTGTGCTAAATTTCATTGCAATAACAGTTTTAATATATTAATTTCGGATATTCAAGCCATTTTCTGAAGGGGACTTTATATGGGGACTAGGGTCATATGAAGTCCGATCATTTCGAAATTCGGCGAGGTCGTCAATATGACCGGGTTGACTTGTATTTATATAATATTTGTCTGTGCTAAATTTCATTGCAATAACAGTGTTAATATATTAATTGCGGATATTCAAGTCACTTTCTGAAGGGGGCTTTATATGGGGGCTAGGGTCATATGAAGTCCGATCATTTCGAAATTCGGCGAGGTCATCAATGCTTGTATAAAACTTAGTAATGCAAAATTTTATCAAGATACATCTATATTATACATAATTATGAGCTCAAAAGCCATTTTCGGTGGTTCGGTTGTATGGGGGCTAGGTGAAATAATGGACCGTCCTTGAGTCAAAACAAACATGTATTCCAAATTTCATTAAATTATCTTGAAAATTGTGACCTTTACGTTTACATGGACACACGGACGGACATCGTCAAACCAACTCAGAAAGTGATTCTGAGTCGATCGGTATACTTTAAGGTGGGTATAGTACTAATATTTTAATGCGTTACAGCACAAACGCATAATACACTTCCCACTATAGTGGTGTAGGGTATAAATAGGGTCCAAAGGGAAAAGTTGGAATCGGTGAAACGTTTTTAATACAAATATTTGAAAATCGTTGCTTCCTGATATACATAACTATAGCATCTCCCGAATGAAAAAAATAAGTTGATGGTATGTTCCCAAAACATTATCAGTTGTTTGGGATCACATTAGGAAATATGTAAATAATAGAATAAAATGTCTACAGTTTCTTAAAATTAATATTCGAATACGCTTCACTGAAGAAAAATTTCCTACAATTTAATCTGAAGTTAAAAGATCTGCAAAAATTACGGATACACTCAAAAAATGAATTGAAAATTCCTTATATAGATCAATCCGGAGCGATTTTTTTCAGTTTGATTTAAGTTCAAATGCATATTTGATTTAATATAAAAATAAGACCAATTCAAGAATGTTAAAGATTAAATTATCCCAAAATTAGGTTAATTTTAGCTTGATTCGTCTGGATTTCAGAAGCTGTCTAATCAGTATCATGAAAAACATTTCAACGAAAAAATTTTATTACAAAAAAGTTAATTGCTAATATTTAAAAACAAGAATTTAATTTGTTGATATCATTTTTCAAAAAAACTCAAATAAAATAATCTTAACTAAATGAGAATTGTATGTTAGAATGTGAATAAAAGTATTTTTGAATTAATCAAAAAATTACTTTGAACATTTATTTTCGACAATTATCCCTATCAGCACTGTTGGGTAATTTGAGGTATTTTATATATAAGTCGACAAATTTCGTTCTCTTCAAATGTCAATTGCAAGATAAGTTAGAATTGTCAATAATAATAGCGAACAAAAAAAAATAAAGTCTTACAAAAAATTTAGAGATTTTTTTGTTAAAAACTTACACTGATTAATTGACAAATATATAAATTGACATGTCGAATAATGGCAAAGAAAACTTTACTGGTCAATGCTGCAAAAAAAGATAGAATGTTTAGATGACAAGGATAAAAAAATAGACAGACAATTTGTGAAGAAACAGTAACGAAATTATAATTTACATTTATTTTCTTGATAACAAGCTATAAAAGTAAAAATCGGTTGATAAAGTTTTAAGTTTTATTGATCAGGGATATTTTTTAAAATTTTGCCAAAATGTGAAACATAAACCTTACTTTTTATAAAAATTTAAGACGATTTTTGTTGGTCGTTAGCTTGTATTTGGAAGTTAGGATCTGGAACCTATAACATATTTAAATGTATTTAGGTAGTATTCCAATCCATTGCATGAGGGCTAGGCGAAATCGTGAACCGATACCCTCTACCTTTCTCCATTCGGACCGTATAGTGTACTTTAAACCGACAAACAGACGAGCGTACATACATGACAATATTGTCTTAAAATCTAATAAAGGGCCATATTTTTATACTTTTCTTTTAAGAAATTTATCATCCTTTAAATTCTGCAGTGTTCGGTCCACAATTGGACAGGCCAACATAATCCTATTCCGGGTTTTCTACAAAATTCTGCAAAATTTATATATTCTAGGGAATTGTAATATATTAAATCTCTGTAATTTTCGGTTCACAATTGGATTCATCTAACATTAAAAACCCTATTCCGAAAATCACTCAGATGTTCATATAACTGTCGATATCCCTACATATGATAACAATTCAGTTTAATTCCAATAAAAGAGTGAAAAGAGAAATAGTGGTAATAAACGATCTTATTTTTGAATCATAAAGACTTAAAGTCCACATATAGGGTCATCTTCCGATGGGGCTTATCATACCAAATATGACTTTGTTTCTCCTGAAAAGTTAGCATTGGTGGAATCGTACTATTTTCAGTATAACTATTTAGTTCAATTATTCTTTTAGAAGAAATCAAATAAGGGGCTTTAACTCAAAACATTTGCATTCTTAAAGTTATAAACATCCAAAATAACTTAATAATTCCCTTTCCACTATATGATGTTAGACGATATTGATAAAACAAATGATAGAATACATCAAGTTTTTTACTGCCATAATATGTTTTCCTATCATTTCTAGGTGTTAAAGCAACATTATTTTTATATTTTTTTTTTTCGAATTTGCAGACAACATGAATTCAATTTTGCAACCCTCAACGAACCAAACTTTAGCTATTTCTTTCGAAAGAATAAAAAGTTAAAATTCTATTTTATATTCACAACATCAACACGAAAGGAATATTGAAAAAGAACGACAACAAACTACATTTCGCTAGAAGGGAAGATAATTAAAAGAATAAATTTATATTTAAGAAACTAAAAGCATCCAATTATGTACATAAAGTTCTGTTGCATAGTTGTCTAATTATACCCTACACCACTTTAGTGGGGAGGGTATATTGGATTTGTGCTGATGTTTGTAACGCACAATAATGTTGGTCCTATACCCACCTTAAAGTATACCAATCGGCTTAGAATCATTTTCTGAGTCGATTTAGCTATGTCCGTCCGTCCGTCGGTTCGTCCGTTCGTCTGTCCGTCCATGTAAACTTTGTAATCAAACTACAGGTCGCAATTTTGAAGATAATTCAATAAAATTTGGCACATGATCTTTTATGGTACCGTAGATGAAGCCTGTTGAAAATGGTTTACATCGGTCCATTATTTCACCTAGCCCCCATACAACTGAACCCGCCGAATAGTGCTTTTAAGTTCATAATTATGTTTAATATACTCATATCTCGACAAAAAGCTGCAAAAACCAAGTTGTATACAAGACTTGATGACCCTCACGAATTCCGTAATAATAGGTTCTCATATGACCCTAGCCCCTATGTAAAGGCCCCATCAAAATTTCACTTAAATGTCCACAATTTTATTCAACAATAAACGGCTTAAGTATGTATATCTAAAGCAAGGTACAATTCAACCTAAATGCTTTATTATGGCAACTAAATCACATTATATTTTTGTCAAAGGTGTAGGGTATTATATGGTCGGCCTCGCCCGACTATAATTTCTTACTTGTTTTAAAATTTACTTTATAAAATGCGAAATTTAGAACTAAGCCGTCCGTATGTTATTAGAAAACTGTAGAAAAAAAAGAATTCATTAATTTCCAGATCTGCATAAGTATTGTTAAAGAATTTTTATCTAAGCCATATAATAACCATAAAACACCAGAATAATAGCAACACTATGTATTGAAATATTCCAACTTAAACACCACCACCCCTTATTACTTCGTTCAAATGTCTGCTTAGCTAAAATGTCAGACATCGTGAAACTCATTTCAAACTAGACTAACTTTTCTAGACCTCTAGGGAATTGTAAAATAAAAAGTTTTTAAGGGTTAAAAATAGGAAGAAAAATCATAATTCTATGTGTATTTTCGATATTGAGATAAAGCAAAATATATAATCATCTAAATTCTCTAATGATTAAAATGATCATTTATCTACATATTTTCCAATAAAACCTAATGATCTCTGTCGAATCTATTGAAAATTATTGAAGATTTGAACATGCATATTGGGAAACTTTAATAAAGTTCTTCATAATGCATGTAGATATTTTATTAATGATTTGCAAAAAACCTTTCATTTTCAGACACTCCCAAAGGTACCTGTCCCACCGTTGGAACAAACAATGGCCGACTATATACGTGCATTGGAACCCATAACAACACCAGCCCAATTAGAACGTACTAAGGCCATTATTAAGGAATTTACAGCACCAAATGGTTTGGGTCCAAGATTACATCAATATTTAGTAGATCGTCGTGAAAGCGAAGAAAACTGGGTAAGCTATTGTTAACAAATGTACACAGAGGGAAAATTGAATATACACGCCTGGTACCAGATTGACACCAAACAAGGGATGTTATTAAAAATTTGGTTTATTTGGCGTTTATTATAATCACCATCAAAAAATATCTCAAACATGTAAAATTAATTTTGAAAGATAGCCCTATTTATAGACTTAGGTCATTACGGATCGATCCTTTTTTACCACTGTTAACTTATTAATTAGATTAATGATGTATTGCATTATAATGTAATGATATTAATGTAATCATTAGGTTGATTTTCGAAAAAGGACCCTATTCCTTGACTAAGGTCAATTACGTACTGATCATTGGTATTTTGAAGGCAGTTATGGAAATTAATATTATATTTTGAAAGTCCCGTTTTGGCGATATGAAATTTTCAATATTTTTGAAAATTTTCATTACACTAACTTCCGTTTGCGACTCATATCAACTGACTAATTAATTCGTTTTAGATTTTTTTGATGGTGATTATAAAAAGTATATTAATGTTTGATAACTTTTATTTTTATCAAAAAATGTTTTCTTAAAAACAAATCGTCTATTAAATAAGTTGCTAACAATTCGATTTAAACAAAAGGTGACGCTAATTTGTATATATTAATAGAAATTAGTGATTAGTCCACAATTTGTCAAAGATTTCATATACGTGGAAAATACTTTAAGTTAAAAATTCAGAACTACTACTTAAGTACGCTGATAAAACATTAATTCAATAAACATAATTTATCAAATTTATTATTTGTTGTTATTAAATAACAATTAATATTACTAATTTTTTTTTTTTTTTTTTGTTAATAGCTTATCTGTAGATTTTAGATAAAATAAATACACAAGTTTATTAGGGTGCCCCATAATGGAAGTTCCCACCGAAAATTCTAAATTACTATTTCTCCAAATTTTTGTCCAGATCTCAATATTAACTGAGATGAAATTTAATGAGTTTTATGATATATTAATATCTGTTATAATTAATGAAGAAATAGCTATCTGAACTTCTTTGGACAATTTTTGCTAGGACCAATAGGTTAAAAGTTACACCCATTTGAAATAAATCCTGTATGACCAAAATGTGCAAATGTGAACCCTTCTAACTCCGGCAGTTCTTAACAGATAGAGCTAAAAATTTGTGTCTGGCCTACTATCCAATAGTACTAACCTTGAAAAATTTCATCCAAATGGATTTTTTTGAGTTGGGTCACTTCACATGAAATTGCCCATATGTATTTTTATACCCTCCACCACCACCAGTGGTGATAGAGGGTATATATAAGTTTGTCATTCTATGTGTAACACCAAGAAATATTCATCTGAGATCCAACAAAGTATATATGTTCCGGGTCCTTATCAAATTCTGAGTCGATTTAGCTATGTCTGTCTGTCTGCCTAAAACTAATCAAAAGAAAAAAAAAAAACAAATTCACCAAAAATATTCATTGTTGTCCTAAGCAGTTTGGTATTGAAAATCAGCAAAATCGGTTTACAACGTTAAAAGTTATGAATTAAAATTTCAGACTACCTCGAAAAAAATTAAGTTTTTTTTCGTAAACTTAAAGTCGTTTTCTCAGAAACTACACAAGATAATTCGATGAGTTTTGTCACACGTTATTTTTTTTACCCAGGGATTAATTATGTTGAAAATCAAAACAATCAAAATTTCCCATAGCCCCCATACAAAGGTAGGTACATATTTCCGGAAATGGATTTATCGTTAATAACTTCCTCAAATATATCGATATGAACTTAAAATTTTGCACATATAAATATAATATCAACAGAAATCATACTAAAAACCTAGATTTATATCGGTCCATAATTGGTCATAGCTCCCATATAAGGCCCACTTTCGAAAATCATTCAAACACGCATATTTCACTGATAAAAAAAAAGCTATCGAGATTCGACAAGAATATGTTTAGTGTATGTATAAATCACTCTACAATTTTTTTTCCGAATCGGTCCATAATTGGTCATAGCTCCCATATAAGGTCCACTTTCGAAAATCACTTAAACGAGCATATTTCATTGATAAATAAAGCAATCGAGATAAAATTCGGCACGAATATGTTTTGTGTATGTATCAATCACTTTTTTTCCGGATAGGCCCGTAATTGGTCATAGCTCCCATATAAAGGCAACTTCCGAAAATAACTTAAACGTACATATTTTATTAACTCATAAAGCTATCGGGGTAAAATTCGACGTGAATATATTTTGTATATATAGATAAATATTTATGCGAAATTTTTCGCAGATCGGTCCATAATTGGTCACAAATCAGTCGATCCATAAATAGTCATAGCTCTCATATAAGGTTCACTTCTGAGAATCACTTAATACCACATAATTAATTATTAAATGATTATAGCCGGATAGAATTCGACATGGGCTTATTCTGTGTATAGATAAATCATTCTGCTAAAATGTTTTGCAATTGATCCTTTATATGTCGTAGCTCCCATATTAGGACAACAACATCGTTTAAAAAGTCCATATCCGAAAATCACATAAAATAAATGTTTTTCGACCTAATCAAAATAAGTTCCATATATGTATGCATAAAGAAATTACTAAATGATAGTACCCTCACTACGGAAACAAAAGCTATGCCGAGTTATCTATGGGTTTTAATAAAATGTAGCGTGCTGGTGGAGGGTATTTATGATTCTAACTTGTGTTAAATATAAAAAAAAACTGGAAAAATCTTAAAAAATAATACTTCTATCTGTGACCCAGCTCATTAATTACTGACCCGAGGATACAATTTTGAGAAATGGTATCTTAGAATGAACAAAGCCTAATCGCTAAATCGATTCAGACAATTATTTAGAGCCGATTGATATAGAAATATTAGAGCCAATATTTCTATGCGTTACCTACATTAGAACAAACCCAATATACAAATATTCAATACTTTTGCAGCAACTGATAGCTGGACTGAATCGGTTATATTTTATTAATTTATTCTAATGCAGCATAAGTTTAAATTCACTCAAATCCTTAGAAATTTCCAATTTATTTAAAAAATAAAAACATAATTCGCATTAACCAAGGACTTGAGTTCAAGTATCTCTAGTTATGCTAAACTAAAAGATATTTTACAAATAAGAATACAATAAAGTATTTATGTTATTTAGAGCAATTGTATGCGTTTATTTATTCATTGAATCTTAAGGGAAGACTATAATTCCAATATTGAAGCAAATTAATAATTTCTATTTTTCTTTTGGTTGTGCTATTGGTGGAGGTGTGCCGAGTGATGGTGGTGTTGGTGGCACACTGGGTGGTGTAGGGAAACTAGTGTTTGGTGTTGGTGCAATAGGTGGGAGAGGTACGTCAGATGGTGTTGAGGGTCCGGTAGAGACTGGAGGTGTTGGAAGGCCTGGACTTTGAGTTGTTGGCTTGGCAGGTTTAGGAGTTGTGGATTTTTGAGTTGTAGGTGTAGGAGTTGTGGGTTTGGGAGTTGTATCTTCGGGATTTGTATCTTCGGGAGTTGTATCTTCGGGAGTTGTAGGTTTGGGAGTCGTAGGTTTAGTAGGTTTGGGAGTCGTGGGTTTGGTAGTTGCAGGAGCAGCAGTGGTTGGTGTTGGAACCTGTACACATTTAACATCGGTGGTTTGTGCTAAATATTCGCATGAAGGAGCTGGAATAAAGTTCGCACAATCTGTACATTGTTGGAAGTAATAGGTGAAGTATGTATTAGCTGGGCATTTCATTAGCTGAGGTTTGCCAAATTCCACACATTTGTAATAAGTTCCAAAATCTGAATAATTTGGCCATAAAACTATAACATCATTGCCAAGGCATGGGGTTATAAGAGTTGAATTGTAGACTACATCGCTGTCACAGACACCGGCAAAAGCATGATGGGCTAATGCCAACACTAAGGCACAAACAAATACTGAAATTATGCGAAAGATTCTGTTAATATCAATTGGAAAATATTTTTTTTAAAGGTAAAAATCTCATTTTTTTTTTTTTTTTAATAATTTACCAGATTTCATATTAATAATACTGGATCAATTGCTTCTCTAGTTATTCACGTTGTTCACTAAACACGATATAGTTAACACTGATTACTTTCTACAAATCATTGGGTATTTATTTGATTTCTTTATTTTCGATGTCTACAAAATGTTCTTGTGTTGTATTTTCAGAATACATATCTTTAAATTCTGTTCGGAAATATGAATATATGTATGTGCCACTGTAGCTTTGTGTGAATTTTCAAATTTATTTTTAATCATATTACACATGAATGTCACTGATTTCATTTATTGACATTCGGTTTTGACGTTGTTTTTTATTATTATTATTTTTTTTTTTTAATCAGGACAAATACTTTGTCGATATCAAGATTAAAAAGAAATCAAAAAAAAAACTAAATACAAAATGACATATCAACTATTTGACGCTGACAATTTTAAATTAGTAGTTAACAAAAACAAACGTATAAAATTACTAATGTTTTCGTCAATATCTATGTATCTATTCCGAATTTTTTTGAAATTGAGACAAATGCAAAACTTATGAACACCGATAAAAAAATTATATGCTTCAACATATACATACATACACACACATGAAGATGATATGCTTTCAACGGAAGCTATTTTATATTTGGCTAAACTATTTCTTAACTATTCGTTAAAGGGCTACGCTCGGTGTATAGTGTTTTTCTTCTATTAATTTTAAGAGCATTAACAGCATTAATTTACTATTAAATATTCAAATCTTTAGTAAAGAACATTTTAATTTGGGTTATATAAAAGTTTAATGAAAATTATTTTTAAACTTTATAAATCTTTAAAAAATTATTTTGTTAATAAACTTCTTTTAAAATAAAAGCTGCTAGAGATATATTTATGAAAATTTGCAGATTCGGAGCTAAGATATTTTTAGTGAAATTAGAATATGTTTTTCAATAAAAAGAATCTATATCTATATGGGGAATTTCATGTCAAGTGAGCCAACTCAAAAAATCGGTCAAGAACTGCCGGACTTAGAAGGGGTCAAAGTTGGACTGGACATTTTAGTCATACAGGGTTTTATTCAAATGAGTGCAACTTTTCACCTATTGGTCCTAGCAAAAATTGTCCAAAGGAGTTCAGATAGCTATTTCTTTATTGTTTCCAAAAAAAATATTAAAATATTTAAATATTTTTTTTTTTAATTTTTTTTGTTTTTAATTGTTTTTTAAATGGGCACCTTTTTTGCTTAAAAAATCGTATATAATTTCTTTCAAGGGTTTTATAGTCCCATAATGGGATGCGAGTGGGATATCTATCAAAAAAATTATTTTTTAACTCAAGAATAAATATTTTTTTCAATATTTGGTACTTAATTTTCCACAAATTTTTCAAAATGGACTTTTTTTGTTTTTTAATTTTTTTTTTTTGCTCAAAAGAAAGCTTAGACTTAGTGGGATGGGATGATTAAAGGAAATGGTCTAAGCTTACTTTTGAGTAAAACATCAAAAACGTCCTTTTTGAAAAAATAGGGGAAAATTAAGTACCAAATGTTGAAAAAATTTTATTCTTTAGTTAAAAAATCATTTTTTTCATAGATATCACTCTCGCATTCCATTATGGAACTATAATGCCCCTCAAGGAAATTGTATAAGCTTTCTTTCAAGCAAAAAAAAAAAAAACCCATTTGGAAAAAAATTTAAAAAAAATGTTTAAAATTAAAAAAAAACAAGTTAGAGTGCTATATTCGGCTATGCCGAATCTTAAATACCCTCCACCAGCAAACTACTTTTTATTGAAACCCATCTAACTATCTAATTTTTAGATAAAATTTTTGTCGAACTAATTTTGATTAGGTACAGAAAAATTTATATTAAGACAGCAGTTCGAAAAAATTTTAATAGAATGATGTATCTATACACAGAATATGGGAGTTGTGACCAATTATGGACTGATCAGGAAACAATTTCGTATAATGATTTATATGCAGAAAAAGATCAAGTCTTATTTTACTCCAATAGCTTTATTAATCAATGAAATATGTGCGTTTAGGTGACTTTAGGAAGTGGACTTTATATAGGCACTATGAGCAATTAAGGACCAATCTGGAAAAATTTCGCAGAGTGATTCACATGTGCACAAATCAGTTTTTATCAAGATATCTTTATTTGATAATTAAATATGTGCGTTTAAGGGATTTTTGGACGTGGACCTATTACGAAATATGGACCACTCCAGAAAAAAATTGGTACAATGTTTTATATGCCTATTCGCAAAAATTTTCGTAGAGTGATTTATGTAAAGACAAAACATATTTGTGTAGAATTTTCTCAAATTAACTTTATTTGACAATGAAATATGTGTGTTTAAGTGACTCTCAGAAGTGAACCTTATATAGAAGCTAGAGTGCTATATGCGTGTAAGTGATTTAAGAAAGTGGACCTTATATGAGAACTATGACCAATTATGGCCCTATTCGGGAAAAATTTCGCAGAGTGATTCATATTTGGACAAAACATGTTTGTGTCGAATTTTATCAAGATAGCTTTATTTGATAAAGAAATATGTGCTTTTAAGTGATTTTCGTAAGTGGACCTTATATGGGAGTTATGACCAATAATGGACCGACCCGTAAAAAATTTATAAAATTTGTACGTACACAAAACATATTCAAGTCGAATATAATCCCTATAGCTTTAGAATTCAATGAAATATATGCGTTTAAATGATTTTCGGAAGTGGACCTTATATGAAAGCTATGACCAACTATAGGCCTATCCGGAAAAAATTGCGCAGAGTTATTCACGTTTAGGCAAAACATATTTGTGTCGAATTTTGTCAAGATAGCTTTACTTGACATTGAAATATGTGCTTTTAACTGATTTTGGGAAGAGGGCCTTATATGGGAGCTATGACGAAAAAGGGACCGATCCGTAAAAAAAATAGTGAAATGATTTGAATGCACACAAAACATATTTCTGTCGAATTTCATCCCGATAGCTTTAGAATTCAATGAAATATATGCGTTTAAGTAATTTTCGGAAGTGGACCTTATATGGGAGCTGTGGCCAATTATGGGCCTATCTGGAAAAAAATTCGTAGAATGATTCATGTTTAGGTAAAACATATTTGTGTCGAATTTTATCAATATAGCTTTACTTGGCATTGAAATATGTGCTTATAAGTGATTTTCGGAAGTGGGCCTTATATGGAATCTATGACCAATTTTGGACCGATCCGTAAAAAATTTTTTAGAATGATTTGTATGTATACAAAACAGATTTGTGTCGAATTTTATCCCGATAGCTTTATAATTCAATGAAATATATGCGTTTAAGTGATTTTCGGAAGTGGACCTTATATGGGAGCTATGACCAATTATGGGCCTATCCGGAAAAAATTTCGTAGAGTGATTTATATTTCGACTAAACATATTTGTGTGGAATTTCATGAAAATAGCTTTAGTTGACAATGAAATATGAGCTTTTAAATGATTTTCGGAAGTGGGCTTTATATGGGAGCTATGACCAATAATGGACCGATCCGTAAAAAATTTTGCAGAATGATTTGTATGTATATAAAACATATCCAACGCGAATTTTATCACAATAGCTTTATTCATCAATGAAATATGTGCGTTTAGGCGATTTTCGGAAGTGGACCTTATATGGGAGCTATGACCAATTGTGGACCGAATGAGATCTACGTTGAAAGTATGATTTCTGTTCATATTATATTTACATGTACAAAATTTCGTGTTGATACCGATATATTTGAGGGAGTTATTAACGATAAACTAATTTCCGGAAATATATAACTTTGTATGGGGGCTATGGGAAATATTGGATCGATTGTAAAGATTTTTAACATAATTAATCACTACCCTGAAAAAATAATGTATGACAAAATTCATTGAAATATCTTTGGTAGTTTCTGAAAAAACTTCAAAAGAATTGTGGAAAAAAACGTAATTTTTTTCGAGGTAGTCTGAAATTTTTACTCATAACTTTTTACGTTGTGAACCGATTTTGCTGATTTTCAATACCAAACTGCTTAGGATAATAATAAATATTTTGGGTGAATTTGGTTTATTTCCTTTGCTTAGTTTTAACGTGAGCGTGTTTTACACAGACAGACAGACGGACAGACGGACATAGCTAAATCAACTCAGAATTTGATAAGGACCCAGAATATATATACTTTGTTGGGTCTTAGATGAATATTTCTTGGTGTTACACACGGAACGACAAACTTATATATACCCTCTATCACCACTGATGGTGGTGGAGGGTATAAAAATTATTATTTATCTTAACTTCTTTGGACAATTTTTGCTAGGACCAATAGGTGAAAAGTTACACTCATTTGAATGAAACCCTGTATGACCAAAATGTCCAACTTTGACGCTCTCTGACTCCGGCAGTTCTTGACCGATAAAGCTGAAAATTTTGTGTCTGGCCTACTAGCCCATAGTACTAACCTTGGTCCAAATCGGAAGACATCGATTTTAAAAGTTGGGTCACTTGACACGAAATTTCCCATATGTATATTAAACTGAATATATTTTATTTTTAGTTTCCATGTTTGGTTTTTTTTAGTTTTTTGGTCCGCGGGGAATATAATATTCCCAGGTGGTGGACAATCTGCCCTCCCTTAGCTTAAGTGATTCTAAAGCTGGGAGAGGACAGATGGTCCATCACCACCCCCATTCCGCCACCCGGGGACGCGCTCGGCAGGAAAAACTTGAAATTCCGTTTGTAACATATCGAAATATGAGTCGTAGACGCACGAAAGTGTATATCTATCGCTAAAATGAAAAAGTACATACACACAGAAAACAGATCGATAGGAAATCGGTTTCCATTATAAATATTTGGTAAAGTTAATTAAAATTCTATCGCGCATATTAAAAAACTATAAATATGAGTGATTTTCTATGTTAAGAACCGAAAAATAATGATTGTAATCAAATTATGGCTATAAAAATTTCCGAATTGGTAATTTCAACCGAATTGTATCTTTTGTGAAATGGTTTTTATTAATTCAGTAAATACAGCAGAATTTTATTTAGCTTTACTTTAGAATTCTAAATATTAGTAGTTGTAACCGAAAAATTTGTTAAAGCGAAAATTTTGAGTCAAATAAACTACGTACCATCATTGCAACTAAATATCAATTATAAATACTTAAAAATTCGATTGTGGTTAAAGAACATAAATAAATTCGATGTTTCCAACCGATTGTTGACATTCACAAAAATAATTATTAAAGAAAATAAAAGAATTGTGAATTATGTAAAAATATTTAAAAAAATAAACGGAATTGCGGCTTAATTTTAAAGGATTTAGGTGAAAAGGTAATGTTCAACATAAAATAAAGTTTGTACTTAGTTGCTTTTAAGATTTTTAATGCGTTTGCAGGAATAAAAGCAAGGAATCCAAATCTCCAATGAAATTCAAATCATCCAAAGGAATGTTTTGCAAAAACTAAAGGAAAATCTTTTTTTACGACAAAAATAAAGGTCAGGCATGTAATGTATCCCAAAATCTGATGCAAGAAGTGTTTTATAATTATTTTTATCTGTAAACATTTATATTTTATAAAATTTTATTGTATACAAATAGAATCCACAAATATGTGTATAATAAATAATATTTCAAGTAGTAATACTGTTAGTTTCTATTTATATTACCGAATTTCATTTTGAAACTATTATGATTTCCATATATTCTATATTGCCAATCGAATTTTTCAGTCATCCCAATAGAATTATGGGATAGTTGTGGGAACCGACTAAATTCGATTGGAAACAAATTCGGTTACCACAACGAATCTGTTTTCTCTGTGTATATATCTCAATTTTCGCATTTTTGAAATCTTCATACTCAACTCTATAATGTGTCAATTTTTATACCATACACCACTATAGTGGGGAGGGTATTATACGTTTGTGCTGATGTTTGTAACACACAAAAATATTGGTCCTACACCCACCTTTAAGTATACCGATCGACTCATCACATTTTGAGTCGATTAAGACATGTCCGTCCGTCCGTCTGTCCGGCTGGCTGTGCGCAAGGTACAGGCCGCAATTTTCAAGATAATTTGATGAAATTTGGACCAAGCATGTTTTTTGGCACAAGGACGAAGCCTATTGAAAATGGTTGAAATCGCTCCATTATTTCACCTAGCCCCCATACAACCGTACCTCCCGATTTGGGCTTTTTATGCCATAATTACGTCAAATATGCTATTATCTCTCTAAAAATTGGCACAAATAAGTTTTATATAAGTATAAATGACACTGCAGATTTTCGTAATGATCGGCCCTTATTTGACCCTAGCCCCCATACAAACCCCCCATCAAAAAATGTCTTAAACGTCTAAAATTGACTTGTAACCATTTGTATCGCAATGAAACTCAACATAATTAACTATTATTTAACAATATATCCTTTTCCCAAATTTAATGAGGATCGGCCCATGTTTGACCTATACTCCTATATAAAGCCTCATTTAGAAAATTTGTTTTTTATCAATAAATTGCTTAAATACTTTGGAATTAAGGTAAAATTCAACATAAAGTTTCTTTGTGAAAAATTGAAATTTTTAAAATATACTCATGGTGTAGGGTATTATATGGTCGGCCATGCCCGACTATACTTTCCTACTTGTTCATAATATGGAAATTTTTAAATGTGTTTTACGTTCTCATGAAGACTACAAGAAAAAAAAAACAACTTATGTACTTTTGCCTTTTTATCACTGATATATTCTGGTCCTTATTAAAATCTATGACGATCTTGCCATGTCCGTTCGTCTGTCTATCTGTCCATCCGTCTATCTGTAGAAGGTGCTAGATAAATGAAAATTTGCATAAATATTTTCTATTGATAAGGTTTGTTTGCTATTTCGACTAACATGGGAAACAAAATAGCCCTACCAAATTTTATGATCCTACCCCCTTCAAAAAAGACTTTAATGCTCATAACTAGAATAAAAATACCCGTTTAGTATCTCTCTACTAAATTTTATGAGGATCGGTCCAACATACATATGAAGTCCTCTTTAGAAAAAAAAAAAGATGATAATCGGTCAATAACCGGACTCCTTAAGAAAATATCTTTAATGCTCATAACTAGTTTAAAAATGCCCGTATAAAATTAAACAAAATAAGATTTAATGAAACCAAAATATTTCTACCAAATTTTATGAGAGTCGGTCCATAATTTTAATTTTGCAACTAAAATAAAATTCGACAAACATTGCTTTTTGAAAATAATTATTCATTTTTTTTTAAATCAGTAGACCAAGTTCCCATTGAACACCTTGGTTCTAGTCCGTAATTAACATTAATTTACAAACATACGCTTTTATAGTGGGTATATAAGACTCGATATAGCCGAATATATGTAAATAGCACTCTTACTTGTTCTATAATAATAGAAGTCGAAATTTTATTTTTATTATTCACCATGTATTTTTGAATCATGGTGGACACATTAGTGGAATTGCTAATATTCATATTAATAATAAAACAAATAAGGCTTTATAGTCGGGCATGGCCGCCCATATGATACCCTACACCAGTTTATGTTAAAAATATTGATTATTTTTTAAAAATAAAGTATTTAATTTAATTTTTAACTTAATTCAAAAATATTTTAACAAAAAACGGATTTTCTAAATGAGGGGTTATATAGGTACAGGAAGTTAATGATCATATCCTTATAGATGTTGGTAGAGGGATTTACGTCTACATTAGTTATTTATGCAGAATATCATCGTGATATTAGTGTTTATTTTGACCATAGGGTCAAATGAGAGGCCCGATCATTACGAAAATCGGCAGTATCATTAAGAATTATATAAAACTAAGTATTGCCGATTTTTGAACTGATACAAGAACATTTAACATATTTATGAGCTCAAAAGCCCTATTCGGGGGTTACGGTTGTATGGAGGCTATATGAAATAATGGACCGATTTTAACCATAGGCTTCGTCCTTGGGTCATAAGAAGAGTATGTGTCAAATTTCATCAAAATATCTGGAAAATTTCGACCTGTAGAGTGCACACGAGGTTTACATGAACACACAGACGAAAAGACAAATGGGTGGATGGACGGACATAGCTAAATCGACTCAGAAAGTTATTCTCAGCCGATTTGTATACTTCAAGGTAGGTGTAGAACCAATATTTTTGGGTGTTACAAACATCAACACAAACGCTTAATACCCTCCCACTATAGTGGTGTAGGGTATAATTATAGGAGTACATGATCCACAACTAGGTCCTATTTAATAATTAAATAGGACTACTAGAAGATTCCAATTGATCGAGAATCATTTAGATTCAATTTCTCTAAAATTCTGTAAATAAAATATTTTACTTCCAAAAGGTTTAAGTTCAATATTTGGAGACTATAGTTCAATGTCAAATATATCAATATATATTTAAAAGTTTCCTCATTTATAAACCATATATCGAGTGTAGTTTCATATCAAAATTTATAAAAAAATAAATGAATATGTGAAATTTAAGTAAGTCAATTCGAAAAATGGCCTTCTGTGGGTTATTAAATCAATTATGAAGCAAAAACTACAAAATTTCATAATATTGGCCTTCTATGAGTTATTAAAACAATTATGGACTAAAATCTACAAATATTTTCCAACTTTCTACAGAGAGGCGGACGGACATACCTTTATCGTTATATAATTAGAAAAGGACCAGTATCGCTATTCAAAAACATTTTAACGAATTTAATTTCAGCGATTTTTTCGTTAGTTTTGTATTGTATTCTTTGACGTTACATTGCCGATACTTTTCGTTAACTAACGACTAGGTTAACGAAAAGTATCGGCAATGTAACGTCAAAGAATACAATACAAAACTTTTGACTTCTTATATTTATATCGATCTTTGTCGTTAAAACATTATAGATTTGAAAATTCGTTAATGCAACTGATATTTGTCGATGTGTTACAAACCGATAGACAAATATAATAAACCCAATTTTTTGATGGTCGGTAAAAAGTAATTAATTAAAAATAATAGTGATAACGACAAAAAACCCGAATAATAAGTATATATAATATAAGTTTTGGTCGATTGGCATATTGATATCAATCATAGCATTATTGTTGTAATTATATTGAAATAATTTAGTAATGTTTGCTTAGCAATGATTTTTGCAAGTGTACATATGTATGTATGTAAGTATATAATGTAATCTATAGTTAATATTACCGCTAATCTCCGCTTGTATTTTTTATTTCATATTATAGAATATTCAAAATAAAATAGACATTTATTTAATTATAGTGTGTGTGACCTGGTTGTAGTGCTAATTACTTAAGCTTTTGGTGATTTTTTGGCTGGAGCTTTTGGTTTCTTAGCCGTCTTCTTGGAATCCTTATCGGTTTTGGGTTTTTTGCCATTCTTGCTGGGCTTAGCCGAAGACTTCTTTTTGTTGGTAGTTGGTTTCTTGCCTGCAGCGACACTTGGTTTCTTGCTAGACTCGTTGGCAACAACTGGGGGAGTGGGAGCAGGAGTTGGAGGTAATGGTGCCAAAGGTTTTGGTGCCTCCTCTACAACTGCGACAACTTGTTCTTCTTTTTGTACAGGTTTGATTTCTTCGTGCTTAGGTGTTTCAACTGCAGCAACTGGGGGTTTGGGAATTTCAAATGGTAATACGGCTGGCTGTAGAGCAGGCATTTCAACAACAGGTGAAGGTTTCAATGGATTGAAAATAGGGGGATGAGGAATATTGGCAATTTCCAAGGGTGTTAGGAAACCATCCTTATTAGGTTTGCTGGGAATAGGAGCAGCTAGTGGCAAATCTTCTACAGCAGGTGCTGGAATATATCTATTGGGAGCAGTGCACGATTGCAAAACGAATGTGAACACTTCTCCAGGATTACAGGTTACAGTCATTGGTTTTGCAAATAAACGTGGGCATATATAATACTCCGAGTTACTTTCATAGCTGGGCCAACGTATGCTAAGTTCCGATTTGGCGCATCTCAATTCGTATTTTTTGGCTTGAGCAATAGCAACAAGGCTCAAGGTGGCTAGCAAAAGTCCGGCTGTACATACAAAATGTAAATTTATTTGTTTTAAAAATATATTTTTAAAATATGAAATTTATTTATTATTTTCTTACCTTTCATCTTAAATATTCTTTCGTATTCCGTATCCGTTTGCAAAAGATGAAAATGATGAACTACTTTGATTTTTTAATAAATTTCATTATTTATACCTTTTCGAATTTGTTATTGTTTTTTTTTTTTTAATTATTTGAAATATTTTTAATATTTTATTTCTCCCAAAAATAAATGATTTGTTGTTAGAGATAACCGAGATAAAAGACCAAAAAATATACATGCATTTTGATAAAAACTAATTTTGACATTTCGTAATTTAATAGATTCACTTGGTTTTTTTGATCTTTATCGATATCAATATTTTTGATAACATTTATTTGAACTTTTTACAAGATTTTTCTTATTTTAAAATAAGTATATATATTTTTTAGGAATAATAATAAAAACAAAGAATCGGTCAGTGAAGCCATGATAACGAATCGTTGGATACTTTACAGAAAAAAATTCTATCAGAATATCGACTAAAAGTGTAATTTATTACAGAAACTATGTTCAATTTGTATTTTTATTCAGGTTGTTTAAAAAGCTATTAAATATAACGAAAAACAACAAGTAAGAGAGTTATAGCTATTCGTCCATAACTAATATTAAGTGAATTTCGGACTTAGGTCTTTAATGATCGGTAATTACTATAATAACATGTATGGAGCTAGGTCAACTCGTGGTTCTATATTATCCATACTATGTAAATTAAACTTATCATTTACAACAATAATGGCACAAATCGAATAAAAGTTTTTGTTCGATTAATTTATTAAATTATAAATAAAAACTGAATATTGGTAACTGCGTTAAGTCCAGGCAAGTGTAACGAGGCACGCCATAGGGCACCGCAATCTCACCACTTGAAATGTTTCTAATGCTTTGGTGCTACTCAACTCAGTCCCAGAGATCTTGAATTAAATACAAACAAGACAGAACTGGTACTATTCACAACAAAGACCGAAATTCCAAGGCTAATCCACCGCAGTTAGAAAACTGCGAAATTCTCTTGTAAAACTATTCCAAATATTCAGAAATTCTACTAGATTCCAAATTGGAAACTGGACATCGAACACAGAGTCAGAAAAACAATGGTTGCCTACTACACTTGTCCCAAGATGTTCGGGTTAAAATCCTAACATAGTCATATGGATGTATACAACTATAGTACGTTGTAGTTCTTACATATAAATCTCTTAAATGGTGGACTTCAACTAAAAATAAATGTATTGTTAGTAGAATAGTTACACAAAGTTCCGAGATCAGCATGCATGGGAATAATAAGGTGATCTAAGAACTAGTCCTTCAGAAGCTCTGAACACTATATTGCACATTCAATCTATAGATCTTCATATTATGGTCATCTCTGACTGCATTGCAGCGAGGCTTAAATCATATAGATGTCAGAAATCAAAAACGTATGGCTAGGATTCTAAATCTACTAATCATACGACTATATTATCCCGCACACGGACTTTGAAGGCTTTTGTTTGTTCCAATACCACAACCTCTCTATTATTTAGACAATGTAAGAAGGATTTGTCAAGGCACTGTCTGACATTACCCTAAAATGGGTCCTTGCGAATAGAGACTACTTTGGTAGTGAGCAGCCAAATGCGCTAGCCAGAACGGGGTATGCTTGAGTAGTAACTCCGTTGGGTTCTACCAAGAGTAGTATCCTCAGGTTCTTTCCCCGAATTTTCGATTAATCGAAAACAAATGTTCGTGTTATTCTTTATTCCAAATTGAAAAGAATGTGTTCGTTCAAAGAAAAAATAATTTTTATACCCACCATCAAAAAACACATCGAAATATTGCTCATAGACCCTTAAAAGTATATACATTCTGGGTCCTTATTAAATTCTGAGGCGATCTAACTATGTCTGTCCGTCCGTCTGTCTGTCCTTTGAAAGCACGAGCTACAGCTACGAGCGAGAGCTACAGAGTTAAAATTTCTTACAAGTATTGATAATGGACAATAACGGTCAAAGTTTTCGTATAGCCCACATAAAGTGGCCCCCCGAAAAACAGCTTTAACAGTCATAACTGTTTTAAAAAAGCGAGTATAGCGATGAAACTCAACATAAATAAGTTTCATATGATCCAAATTCTCTATACCGAATTTTATGAGTATCGGTCATAAAAATCACTTTAACGCCCATTACTGGCTTAAAAATACGAGTTTAGCGTTGAAATTCGCAATAAGTAAGTTTCTTGCGAGTTTCTGGATTTGATCGAATTATTCGATAACATCAGACATTTAGTAGCAAGTAGCAGACATTTCGATAAGCAAAATTAGACATTTAGTAGCAAGTAGCAGACATTTGAATAAGCAAATTTATATACGTTTAAAGTAATTTTTTGGCTTTCATAAAAACATTTTATAACCAGAACTTTACAAGCAAATGAATATTTACTTCCAAAATGAGTGCAAAACCAATGATACATATGTAGCGTACTTTAAGAACAAAAACTTATGTTGTTAAAGTTAAATAATTTATTGTTATCATTTTAATATAGTAATATAAAATTTATGTGTAAAAAACTTTATTCATTATTTTCATGTAAAATTTATCAAAAAAAAAAAAAAAAAATTGAATGGCGCTTTATTTTTAAAATTTATATATACATAAATTCAATTAACCGCTTATCGAATCACTACTAAAGACGTTTAATTGATAATTTCATTAAATATAAATTAGGGCAGTACAAAATTATTTTTTACTAACTAAGAAAAAAAATTTTATGCAAATTGAGTAAAAATCTAACTGCTTATCACAATTTAATCTCATCTAGGCCTACCACTACTGGTTAAACGATATGTACATGGATGTACGTTTATCGTTGCCAATCAATTCGAATCCTGGTATGGTTTTACCGCCACGACGTTTCACCACTGTTCATGATGTTGCCCGATTTGCGGCGCGTATTTTAGAAGGCATTATGGTGCACAAAGAAATGCTTGATAGTGGTAACTTACCACAAGAACGTGCTACATCGCGTGAAAAGAATCAACCTTTGTGTATGGCTCAGTATTATCGTTTGTTAGGTTCATGTCGCCGACCTGGTATACAACGTGATTCCCAGTATTTGCCAAAGCACAAAACCGAAGACGAGCATGTCATTGTATTTTGTCGCAATCAAATGTATTGCATTGTACTGAAGGCTCGTGATCGTGGTAAACTGTCGGAGAGTGAAATTGCTTCCCAAATTCTCTATGTGCTAAGTGATGCTCCCTGTTTGCCCTCAAAACCACCACCTATAGGTCTACTAACGGCCGAACCAAGAACACAATGGGCTGAGGATCGTGCCACCTTACAGTTGGAAGAGCATAATCATCGTAACATCGAATTAATAGAGACCGCTTTGATTGTATTGTGTTTGGATGAACCATTGCCATTGACATTTAATGCTCGCGGCTTTACGGGAGCAACTCCGTCCGTGCATTATGCCGGTCAGAGAGATGAAACTAATATGGCTCATGAAATGATACATGGCGGTGGTAGTGAGTATAATTCTGGCAATCGTTGGTTTGATAAGACCATGCAAATTATTATTTGCACTGATGGTACCTGGGGTCTGTGCTATGAACATTCCACCTCGGAGGGTATAGCAGTGGTCCAGTTACTAGAAAAGATCTATAAGAAAATTTTGGAAAGTCCCTCGGATGACAGTGGTGTACCTCAACATCATTTACCACCACCCGAACGTTTAGAATGGGAAATAGCTCCAGAAATACAAAGACGTTTCGGACCGGCCTGTCAATCAGTCGATAGGTGAGTTAATTTATTTACATTTATATGAAAAAAAAAATAAATATCACAAATTTATTTACAGAGCCATTGATAATTTGGACTTTTATGTTTATCGCTATAAGGGTTACGGTAAGAATTTCATCAAAGCTTGCCAAGTTAGTCCAGATGCCTATATACAATTATCTTTACAATTAGCCTATTTCAAGTAAGTATTTATTTACTCTCTGATCAGTGTTACTCGTTTTTAACGTTTTATTTTCATAACTAGATTATATGGACATTTGGTAGCCACCTATGAGAGTGCTTCGACTAGACGTTTTCTATTGGGTCGTGTCGATTGTATACGCAGTGCCAGTACCGAAGCTTTGGAATGGGCTAAAGCTATGTGCCAGGATGAAGGTCCCAATGTGGCTTTAGAAAGTGATCGTGAAGAGGAAGATGATGCACGTAAAGTTAAATTTAGCATATATAGTGTAAGTTGGAAGTGATTATACATATGTACATATGTTTTGAAAAGCATATAATTTATAATTTTTTTACAGAAAGATTATTTACGTGAATTATTCCGTTGTGCGGTAGCACGTCAAACTGAAGTAATGGTACAAAATATTTTGGGTAATGGCATCGATATACCTTTATTGGGTCTTCGGGAAGCTAGTCGCGAAGTAACTGGCGAATTACATGAACTGTTTACGGATGAATCATATCAAATATCACAGTGTTTCCTGTTATCTACCAGCCAGGTATATCTTATATTAATATTTCTAATAATTGCACAAATGCACCATAGAGCACAAAAAATTGCATGTATATATAAATTGCACCGCTAAGCTAGTGAGAAAAATCCTTTGTATACTCTCCGAATGAGTGTAAAATGTATTATATGGCTGTAAAGTTGTACTCTTTTAAAATGTATTTTTGGAAAGAATTGCGGAATCAGGTGTAACACTAATACTCGTATATGAAGGTTCCCAAATATGTACGTACAACGCTTGCGATGTTGAAATTTTATATTAAAATTTTTAAATCGGGCTAAAATTTAGATTTAAAATAATTGCAAAGAACACGCGATCATGTTTGTAGTGATTGATTCTTTAAAGCCATTCCGGGTATCCTTGGATTATAAAATAGCGACTTCAAATCTAATGGCGTTAGAATGACTCTGGCTTAAGAATAATTCTTAAGGAAGAAATATGTCGGTAGTCGGGAGTTACGAAAACACATCATTATCGAGTATCGATAGTTTGTAATGATAATTCGAAAATATTTTTAACGGTGTTTGATATATCTCATTCTTTGTATTTTCCAAAATTGTATATTTCCTTCATCTTAGTGAGATTATTTATAAGTGTGTAAATATTATATTTTAATTCACAACTGAATAAATAAATCGAACAATAATTAAAAAACAAAATTTAACCTCTTTTAACTCTATAAAGCTTTTATGTTATTTTTATTGTATACCCACTATTTACAAATATTAATTTTCCCTTTGTAACATATCGAAATTTAAGTCCAAAAAGATTCAAGGTCAATCTGGACATGTCCGTCCGTCTGTCATTCTGTTCGAAGCGCTATAGGTTCCAAACGGAAAGAGACTGAAAGTTTACACAAATATTTTCTATTTTTAAGGTTGGTTTTACGCAAGCTTTATTCTGGGCGCATTTTTATTATTAAGTGTGCCAAAAGCCGGCTCATATTTGAACCTAAATTCCATATAAAGTACCCACCAGTCTTTAACGTTATTATCTGACTTAAAAATGCATCTGTCAGAAATACAGATCAGTTTTATAAGTATCCGTCCATAACACCCATATAACCCCTCTACCCCACCAGTCTTTAACGTTATTATCTGGCTTAAAGATGCATCTGTCAGAAATACGGATCAGTTTTATAAGGATCCGTCCATAACACCCATATAACCCCTCTAAAATGGCGTTCTATATTTAAATTTATTATTCTCAATTCAAAAAAAAAAAAATAATTTAAAATTTATTTATAGATTTTGTCAAGAAACACGAGATTAATTATGATACAATTCTTGAAAAACATTTGTTAAAGAACTTTTTTCCTAACACGTTTTGAATTCTGAAGTCATTGGACCTAATTAAGTAAACAATTCTTGAATTAAGCACATTTTGGTATCATTTTAATCCTGATCGTACTTAAATCAATATCATTTTGAACTCAATTTAAGTTCTCATCGGAGATTAAGACAAAGTGAAAATTTAAAAAATAAGTGAATCAGTTTGATTAAAAAAAGTATTAATAAAAGCTAAAACTGAGAATTTTGTACTTGACTGATCCATAATTGAATCGAGTACACTTGTCAGTACTACTGATTCCGTAGACCTAAGTTCGTAAATAGATACACTTTGCGAAGTTTACTATAAATTTAGGACAAATGTTCTTATGGTGGGTATATAAGATTCGGCATAGCCGAATATGACACTCTTATTTGTTTTTGTATATTTATTGCAAATTTTATTTTAATAACATTCTTATCACTATAAAAGCACTAAAAATCTTGTATAAGCACATTTAAAGCACTTAATTACAGAAAAAACTGCACACACTGCAAAAAATGTATTAATGGCAAATCTCATGCACACTACACTGAGAGAAAAAATAAATAAAAAAGCACCTTTGTAAGTTCCTTTAAGTGTTTTAAAACAAGTTAAAAAAAAACAACAAAAAAACCCAAACAAACTTGAAATTCCCTCTTTAGGTGGCTTGTAGTACCGATAGTTTTATGGGCTATGGACCGGTAACTCCAAAAGGTTATGGTTGTTCATACAATCCACATCCTGATGAAATTGTCTTCTGTGTTTCAGCATTTTATGCGTGTGAAGATACAAGTGCTTCACGTTATGCCAAATCCCTACAAGATTCTCTAGATATAATGAGGGATTTATTGCAGAACTAAACTTAAATACTATTATTGTTATTAATAAACAAAAAGGAACAATTAAAAGAAAAACAAACAAACAAATTGGGAATATTTAAACAAACTATAAAAACACAAACAATACATATCATAAAATGTACCTTAAGAAATTTTAGAACAATTATACAATTACAATTAGTTAAATTAATTACATACTTATAAAACAAAGAAAAAAACCATATACATATAAATATAAATTATTGTATGTTATTAATGCAAATAGAAATTATTGAAAAAAAAAAATTAAAAATAAATATATAAATGTATATTAGAAAATTACTATACAAAAAAAAAACTTTTAGAAAATTGTTAATTAAAGAATATTTACATGCATACATATATACTTATAAAAACCAATGAAATCAAGACTAGAAACATTTTAAAAAGTAATCACATAATTTTCCTACGACCTATCTTAGCGGAAATTACAAAATACACAATTTAAAAAGGATCTTACATTGGGAATATTTTGAACTATTCCCTAGTCATTTTGTTCTAATACTTCCAAAATTGTATTAATTTCTGGGTATATTTTAGCACGTATATATATTTTTTCTTCTGCTTGGATAATTACCCGATAGTTGTTTAATAGTCACACAACACAAAAGCAATAATTATAAGTTATCAAAAAGTATATAGATTTGTCTTAATCCACGTATTTAGAAATAATGTAGAATAACTTTATTATGCCAATATATTTGGTTCTAAAATACATGTCCCTAAGTTATTGGACTGCAGCGGACTATCGGTTATCGAAGGCATATAAGTTCCTCATTATAAGGTGAATTATAAGGCATGAATCATATCCAGAAAAGCTTCAGAATACAAATTTGAATTGTGATATATATTTGAGTAATCAGGAAAGAAGTTCTTAAGATGTTGATTGTTTGGAAGATCAATCGTTCACTTCAATCCACACTTATCGACTTTATATGGTTCCATAAAACCACAACTTAAACGGCTTTAGAATATAAAATCACTCTGAAGAGAGGTAAAATCACTCTACAATATCTGGATCATATCCAAAAAACCTTCAGAATACGAATTTGGAATCAGGAAAGATCGACAATTGATTTTAATTCGATCATGTTTACTTTAGTTGATTTTTTGAAGATCAGCCGCTCACACTTATCGATGAGAAACAATATAAATATACTTCGAACGGTTCCATAAAACCAGAACTTAAAAAGAAATCAATTAGAATAAAGAATGGGTAAACTCATTCTTCAATAACTGGGTGCAATAATTCTGAATCCATTTATTGCATAAATACTACGACGACAAGTTTAATAAATACAGATCGACGGTACATTCTGCTCACCAAAAAGCTGTCAATTAACGCACGCCAATTATAACACATGGATCATAACCAGATAGAGCTTCAGGATTGGATTTCGAAATCCGATATATATTAGACTAATCGGGAAAGACTGACAAACTTAAGGTATTGATTTTAATTCGGTCGATGAGAAACCAAAAAATACACTTTGCATGGTTCTTTAAAACCTCACCTTAAAAGGATATCAAACGGCATTAGAATGAAGAAGGGGTGTTAGTTGTTTCAGAAAGTCAACTCATACTTCTGAAGTAATTATCCCATTTATCATTCTCACCATAAATGACGACCATGCAAAGAGTGGATGTATTTATTAGTACTCTATATGATCTGAATGCAATAATATTAAATCAAACAAGTAAAAATACACCTAACCCAATATCGGGTACGTTGTGAAAGAACATTTATATATGGGTAATTTCATGTCAAGTGACCCAACTTAAAAAATCGATTTTGACGAAATTTGTACCAAGGTTAGTACTATTGGATAGTAGGTCAGAAACAAATTTTCAGCTCAATCAAGTCAAGAACTGTCAGACTTAGAGGGGATCAATGTTAGACATTTTGTTCATACAGGGTTTTATTGAAATGAGTGTAACTTTTCACCTCTTAGTCCTAAAAAAATTGTCCAAAGGATCTCAGATAGGTATTTTTTATTTCCAAAAAGTTTTTTTTAAATTTTAAAATTTTTTTTTTTATTTTTTTTCAAAATGGACCCTTTTTATAAGGTAAATTTTAGGACCAGTAAACCTGTATAGAAAGCTGTGCCAAGCGAAGTTTAATGAATATTGATTTATCAATTAAAAAAATATATATGACTATAAAATGAGTTACTTTATAAGTGATTCCTGAAACTTAACGGTCCTTGGGCCAACAATGGGACCTCGAGAAATAATACTGTAATTTAAACATTATACACGTTAGCCAAGATTTATATAAAAATATATTCAAGAAATTTTGGAAACTTAAAATGATCTTTGGGAAAATGGAATGATCCTTCACAAATCTATATACTATTTTTTAACTAAAAAATGTATAAATTTCTCAATAATTTCTTTAACTGTACTATTTTATATTTTATGAATTGGAGACACACCTTATTCTAACATACCAATATAGTTCCTATAAAATATTTTTTTTCTTTCTCAAACTTAATTGAAAAATTGTTCGAAATTTTTTTTTTTGGAAAAATTAATACATACATAGTTATTTTTACTAAAAAGAATACCCCTAAAGATAAAACCAAAAACAAATATATGAAAACAGACATTTGGTGTGTCAAAATTATTCAATTAAGAACGCAAAGGAAATAAGAAATATACACTTCTACAAAACAATTTTAGAGATATACAAAAAATAAACAAAAACATAATGATAATGATAATAAAAAAAAACCCAAAAAAATTTAAAAAGAAATTGTTCAAAAATTTGTTCATGAAAAATGCAAACAAATGAAAAAAAAAACAACATAAAGATAAAAATGTAATCATTGTCATTGCCAAAACACTATAATTAGTATTGTCACTTGATCATGCCTAGGAGTGTATGAGTATTTTGAACTATTTATTAAGTATTTCCCAAAAACATGTTTATTTTCATTCATTGTTATTTTGAGGTAGTAAGTACATAGTACATACGTTACGTTAGTGATTTGAAGCACATTTTTTATAGAAAATGTGAAGTTATTAAGACATTTTTTTTAAGAAAATATTTTACAAATGATTTATTCTATTAAAAATAAAAATTAAGTGTTATAATTTTTAACTATCGATTTCACAAATATTAATCAGATGTGAACACAGTTTTGTTATTCACATTTAAATATCTGAACAATTTATTCCAAATATTTTTTTTTTTGGTACATTTTTCTATTTGATTTACGCTGTTGTTTAGAAAAACTAAACTTTCATTACTTCAAGATAAATTATTTTTTTTCATTCATAAAAGAAACATTTATTCCAATTTGTCTAGTTAAATTTTGTTTTAAATTTTTTTTAGATAAATATAAAAATTACCTTTTTATAGTCATTTTAAATGATTTCTTCACTTACCTGAAAAAGAAAAAAGAGATATAAAATTAAACTCTTTAAAAACAAATTAAAATATGTTAAGTTATCAATTATCATTATTAATATTGAAAAAATGTCTTATCAATATCACACGTGTTTTTTTTCTTCAAATTGTAAATGTATAATTAATTATCATATGTGGGTATAAAGTTAAGAGAGATTCTAGAATTTATTTGTCATTTATATACATACAAGTATATATAAACGCAATTCCAAAGCTGGGGAATAAACTTCTAGAGAAAGTGAAGAAAAATAATATTACAATAAACTTTTAACTATATAATAGGTCTAGAGCAAAACGATTCGATTATAATAGTATACGCACAATTGGGACGAACGACGAATTTTTCGGAACGAATATTCGTCGTCAGAAATAGAAAACACTTGGGTATATGAAAATGTACACAATCATTGCGTATGACTAAATTCGTCATACGTAACGAACTATACGATAGGTTTATTTCTATTCTTTACGAAGACGAACGACGAATTAATTGGGGAAATTTTTTTTAAAACTAATTCCGGTAGACCAAATTTGCTGAAATTATTATTATGTTCGAATATTCGAAATTATATTCGAAAATTCGAAGTTATGTTCGAACAATTTTTTATGCTCTTAAAATAATCTCTGTGTCATAAAAACTAAAAATAAAATTTTCGAAAACTCGAACTTAAGTCCGAAAAATTTTTGAAGCCATTAAAACCAGTCTGGAGTACACTTGATGACTCTACAATGCTATGTTGGAATATTTAAAATTAAGTTCGAAAATTCGAAGTAATATTCGAAAAAAATTTGAAGCTGTTAAAAAATTGGGGATATTCTCTTACATTTTCTAATTTCGAAATAATGTTCGAATAAATTTTAAAGCTTTTAAAATTATATCAAAATCATGGAGATTCACAAAAATATAATTTTTGTTCCTTTTTCTTACTTTTTCCAATTTCGAACAAGCAAATTTTGAAACGAATTCGCAGTACGAATAATTTTGTTCCATTCGACGAATTTACGCAACGAATTTTTGTCGACAAGTTCGTCGTGCTATACGAAATTCGTCGTTCGTCCCAATTGTGCGTATACCATAAGTTTAAAAAAAAGTTATCGTAAATTTTTACCAATTCGAGCTAATTCCAAAAGTTTTGATCTCTGTAAAGCTTAAACCCTATTTAACAGGTTTTGTACAGACTAAACGACTTTGTTAAACTAACCCTTTTTGAACCATTCGAAAGAAAGTAGGTCAGACATAGCAACATTTTATAAAGATCCATAATCCCCCATCTAACTCAGGCAGTTCTTGACCAATAGGGCTGAAAATTTGTGTCTGGTCTACTATCCAATAGTACTATAATAGTACCAAGTTTGGCCACTTAACACGAAATTGCCTATATATGTATATAAACCACAGGGGTGTCCATAAATGTTACGGCAATCGCAATATTCATTTCACTATGATGGTGTTTGAAATACTCCATAGTGTAAAACCCTGCTCCTGACCAAATATATTTTTTAATAAAATTAAAAGCACTTCTATTTGGGAAAAGACTGTCTACTTCTGAAAGACCAATATTTCTTTATAAAATAGTCACAGTGTTCATAGATGTTAGATCAGTTTTAAAATTATCATAATGTTAGGGTGTGTTCTATAATATGACATTTTCCAAAAACTGGTTTTCGACTTTGAATTTGAACATTTGAAAAAAGCTCGTTTACTATTTTCAAAATTCACAAAAATCCCCTTTTACCGGATTTTCCTTAATAATAAGAAATGACCACTTACGTAACCCCACCAATCGGCTCATCATTATTTTCTGAGTCGATTACACTAAGTCCGTATGGTAAATTTTTCAGAACCATTTCAAAAAAATCCAAGATATTTTATTTTTCACAAATTATACTGTTGTTAGGGTCTTCAATCGCTGGTGGGGAATTGAGGACCATTCGAAAAAAAATATATTATATTTTTTTCGTGTTCAGTACTTTAATACGCTTCGATTGAGAGGTATTACTACATGAAATTCTTAAAAAGGCGGTTCCTCGGGACACTCTAATGGCCATGTTAACCTTGCAATTTATTTGACCCAAGAATCATCTACCCTCTTCAAAGCCCACCTCAGAAATGGCAACATAAATGCTTTATAATTAGAAATAACACATGTTTTAGATCTACTTATAACTGGTGTAGGGTACCATATGGTCGGCTATACCCGACTAAACTTTCTTACTAGTTACTATAGAAATCATGTGTACTGTTTTACTAAAAGTAAATTTTTTTGAGATCCCCTCATGGTCACGTTATTGCTGCCACTTAATGTAACTACCAATGGAAGGTACCATTTTTGAAATATA